TTTTTTTGATTTCTCCAACCCCTTCGTACAATCCACTCGCCTGTCCGTTGCATACCCTCGGACAACTATTTTGCCGCCCGCCAAAGACCGTTTCTAAATAGTGTACCAATACCGCAGTTTGAAGCCCTCTCAACTCGTGAATCTCGTGAGGGCTCTCATGGAAATTGGCAACTAGATTGCCTTATGCGCACAACGCAGTCCATAGCGATTGACGGTTGCTGCAATTTGGGACGCAACTTCAGTAGATTAGGGGTATAAACCAACTGAGTGCGCCCGGTCTAACCTCGAGCTATTTCCTTTGCACATCAGAAGACAAGGAACCTCGCCCGTCAGGGCTGCGCAGGGTGGGTTTTGTGTGTAATGACAAAGCCCTAGGGTTCATTTTGTGTTCGGAAGACAACCAACACCACAAGGTGATCATGATTTCAGCCTGCATGCCGAGCAATCACAGTCTCGATGCACAAAAGGATGAGTTTTACGACCAACTTGTCGAACTCATGCAACTGTGTCGCATCTTCGATATAATTGTGCTGCAAGGTTTTTTTAACCCGCAGGTTGGAAAACTGAACATATCCAAAGCTTGTCTAGGCGGTCGTTCTACTCGATTTCGTCTGTGAACAAATAACGGTTTTCGATTTCTTCGGTCTTTTTCAGATCATTGATTTTTCTGATCTAGCACTAACTTTCGATGCAGCCCTTGACGAACGACAACGTAGTGTTTTGGTTCAACGGAAAAGTGGTCGGTGGTGGCACAGTGGTCGCTGTCACCAGCGTGCTTGGGACTCTATGGTCCGTGGGTTAAGCCCCGTCACTGGAATGAGTTGTTTCCAGATGGGCATCAAATTGTAACCTGTGTACCTCACGCACCTTGTACGTTAGCCATCCTCACCTCACACTTGGGAACCCATATTGCTTCGGGAAACCTTGGTAAGCGAAAAAATGCGGAAATCCCGCTTCTTTCTAGTTACCTCATAAGCAATAGCTCGTCTAAGATAAGCGTCCTGCCTGACAGACCATGCACGGAGCGCATGAATCATAAGGCCAATCGAAAGAGTGCACAGTAGGCTAAAAATAAAAGGGTCATCTTCATCCATGGAGTCTCACAGCTGAACGATGCAAGAGAATCCGAAAGTTTTCAGAATAATTGCAAAGAGTGGCAATTCATACGGGATTCACTAGAATGTCACAGCGATGTCACGACATCAATCAGTAGCCTTCCCTGTTCACCAAACTATTATGGCAGTGGTCCAAGGATAATGAAAGTTACCCTTGGAGCTCCAGAAATGACCACTACCGTTCTCCAGTCATTGCAGGAAAGAAATAAACGAGGTCCACAAGAACTGCGCCTGAAACCAGTGTTAGATCCTAGATCTCCGAACAGCCCACAGTTGGAATATACTATCAATACACCGAAGGCCTCAATATAGTCGAAGGTGGATACCTAGGGTTGCTGCTGGTCACCTTTCCCTTGCACTTCCGAAGTGCTGCCATACGACTAAGCGTCTCCAAATAGCCTCTGTTGATGAAGCTCTAATCACTACCCACCAAAGTGAGAGGACGAAAAACCGATATCCCGGGCTATAACCGGGTTGGTTGCCAAACCCCTGATTCCCAACTAACCAACAGGAGGCGTACGAATCACCTTCCTGATTGTGGCAGTGGTCATCGCCTCGATTGGACATCGAGGTGTATTGGCCACCTTGGACGTTTGACCCCGTCCGAAGGGCCTATGATCCGACGAACTAGACACCGGCCCCCAATGGATCGCGGTTTTCACACACCGGCCCGCTGCCTTGCGGGTCAGGCTTTGGTTAGCCGAAGGCTCCGGTTGTGTATTCCTCAAGACAATTCCCACGCCTTGGCCTAGACAAATTGGCAGTATTCGGCCTACATGCAAATCATGGAACGTTTTTCTTTTTTATAAAGATTATTTTACCATGATTTGTTTGGCACACAGACTGGCCTCAGACGTGTGTGAAATATAATAATACATTCCCATCGGAATACCAGAGTACCAGAGCATCCCCCTCAAAAAACGATTATTAGCCGACCATCGGCTAAGATACCACTTCTTAACCAATGGGATCTCTACGTCGACACTACATTAATTGTTGCTACACCAATGTACAGGGGTTCTTCAGTAAATTTTCCGAACTCAAGTGGCGTTTCGAATACGACCAATGAGATATTATAGCCGTTACCAATACGCTTCAATTGCTGATTCCGCGTGTTTGTCGCCACGCACACGCGCATTCGAGGAATATCGCACGCTGGCTTTAGTTTCTTACCTGTTGGCACTGAAAACCTGCAATTGATTTATCACTCTTGTGTTGACTCTGACAATCTGATGGATACCATTATTAAGGGCCTCGTATCTGGGTTTAAACTGATCGTCGTCCTGCGTGCGTTTGCTCATTAGATTGTTAACGAAAGATGCGTATCTTTACTTTTTAACCCCAGCTTTCAAAACTGGCTGCAAATCGTGCCGATCCTCCATTCCCCCGTCCTCGTCCCCTGTGGGGTCCGTTATGCGAGGCGATCATGAGTGCCAGCTGTAGTTCACCGGTACTGGGTCCATGTCTGACGGAATCGATACACATGGATCAACACGCACTGGGTTTCCTTTATCCACATCTACATTCAGCCATCTGCCGACATCCCAGATGGTTGTTACGTACAATTCAATCTCCCACGTTGTGGACATTTGTTCACACTGTTGGTGGAACTCAGGTAAATATCTGTGTTTTGGAAAATCGGACTCAGCTTTCACTTTGATCAGGCGGGTTTCCGATTCTTTCTCCTCCCCACCCGTTCATCGCATGGCTGCCTTGCAATTCTCTTTGTTCTTTCTAATAAATTCTGTCCAATCTGAATATAATACCGCTCGTAAGCGATAACCTTGTACATATGAATATCCATGATATCAATACTCGCATTGATATGTCAAACCAGCAGAGCGATTTTTTTTGCGACTGGTATGAATTCGTAGTTAACGCTAATTGCAAACTGCAAGGATAACGTATGTACACTATTTTAATTTCTATTTCGGGTTTCCTGTGGTTTGTGGTATTTTTAGGTAAATGATCCCTCATTTTTGTATGTTATAGTAGGTAAATGGTTCTCTTTGAATGATGAAAAAACACGTCCAGTGCGTTCTTTTGAAAAACGTCCTTGTTTGATTCCCATGAAAATTTAAATAAACACTGACTATATATTTTGGTACTGGTGTGCGTCTCACTCCCTCATTGATTATCCCCACTTTTCTTTTGTTTGACGTTATGCCTTTTTTCATTCGCAACGATCGGGGACAAATGAAGTTCAACCTCATAAAGTCAATTTCATGTGTAGCCACAAACGTTCATTCTTTATTCACTTTCATCCCCAGAGAATTGGACTCAGGAAATCAATGCTGGAGGCTGTGTTTCGGGTCCAAGGACTCGCTTGATGAAGGCGGGAGCGAAGTGATTGTTTTGGTGGCGCAGTAGTTTAGTCGCTGTCACCAGCGTGCTTTGTACCCTGTGGTCCGGGTTTTGAACCCTGCCATCACCACTACCCAACTTTGGTGATAGACAGCTTTGCAGTCGTTCGGTTCGCTACTACACCTGATCCAGTTGGGCAGTACGTGGTTCGTCACTCCAAGTTCCGGGACTTAGGTTACTCGTTTCCATCACTAAGCAGCAGGTTTGTGACTCGGGTCCGTCCTCTTTGCAGTCCATGACACAAAATGTGTGTAAAATCTAGAGCATTGGGGTTGGGGTGGTTGTCATAGATGTCTTCGCATTGCGTTAGACAATAACCGTAATTAGAAGATTAGAAGATCCTCAGTATCGGGTTTTATTCAGCCAGTAATGTCTAGCAGTCAATTGTTAATAAACTATGGAACCCACTGCGGAAACAGCAGTTTTGCTGTCGCGTCAGTCTCCATATCAGCGAATACTATCGATGATGAACGATTTTTATGTGACTCGTTAAATTTCTTCGTCGGTAGTGGCTATTCATATCCACATTTGCATTGTGTTCACTCTCGCATTCACTCACTCAACTCCGATTGACGTACGCTTCAAACAGATACAGGTCTAATCAAAACTGAAGCACCGGGTCTCTGTGAAACACTTGTAGGTTCGTATAAGCAACATCATTTATACTAGAGTCAATTTGTCTCCAAATAATAATAAACAAGCCTTGGTGAGTCTTGATAACATTGGTTTTCGCGATTCGTTTATACTCAACAGATGGAATGGGTCAGTATGTAGTGCATACTCCCATTTCGTCAGTAAATTCAAAGTCAAAGTTTTATATTGGGTATTACTTACAAGCAGATGCTTTTCTTGTCCCATAGAATGTTAACATAGTGTTAATGGTGGTTGACCTAG